AAACAAAATCCATTTGTGTGATGCAGATGTCCTCTACTGGCAAGAGGCAGCACTGCAACCAAATCCATTAACTTCTCCGGAGTATGTACAGTAGTACATGATAGACAGGCAAACATTAGAGAGAGACAATAGTTCTAGAGAGACAAGAGAGGCGTAATTTCTCCTGATAGCCAACTTTCTCTTCTTTTGTGCGTGTTCATCTCTTACTGAACAGGCTTTTGCAGTGCTTTTTTTCCTTTAAAAAAAGGTTTAGGGGTATTCTCATTTTACTACTCATATTGAAATACTGCCCCTCACTGAGTCCAAATTTAGATTCACAAAATGTTTAGGGGTATATGTACCCCTGCGTGCCCCCCAGGAATAAGTGATGGGTTTTTGAAACACCAGACAAAACTGTGAACAGAGATGACCATTGTCTTCAGTTCATTGAAGACCCCACAGTGCCCCTCTCAACTCTTTGGGTAGATGTGCACCGCAGACTTGAACAGGTACTCTTTCTGTCTCCCCAGGTAACACTTCAAATTGTAGGTCTGGGAGTGAGGAAGCCTAAGGATGTCACACAACACCCATTTCACACTGGGTTCTTCATGGAAATTCATGACATTAAACTGATAGAAGTTTTCAGTATCAAATTTGTCTCCAGCCAAAAGACAAAGGCTGTGCCAAAAATTGTGAGAAAAGAAAATATGCATGGTTTTTAATGCACTTAATATGTGGGATAGATTACATATCAAAGTACCAGATAAATAATTTTTAAAAGTGCTTAATTTAACAACAGCAGCCAACCCCCCCCCAAAAAAAAACCTTTAAAATGACTGCCTAAACTGAGCTTTTTCTGAGAATGCAGAACAGTACTGCTAACAAAGAAGGAATTATTCTTGGAAAAACAGCATGTCTGTTGGAAAAGGATATGCCATGTTGTAGTAGTCTGTTTCTAACTGAACCCTAGATATAGAGAGTTATTATATTCTGCATTATCAAAACATACCTTTGTGGTCCATCAATGTCCTGCATAAGCCAAATCTGCATCTTGGAGACTTTATTCGGATTTAAGTTAACAACTTCAACACTGCCAAAAATGCTGAAAGAGCAGGAGCATAAGAAAAGAGCTCAGATGTTTACCAGCCTCAACAAAACATATCAGGTAAACATCTTTATAGATGTTATTCATTGCCATTGCCTAGTAATTTCAGAAGATAAATATGTATGTATGTATGTATGTATGTATGTATGATTTTGATTAATTACCCATCCTTCACTCTGAGGTGTTAGGGTGGATCACAACAATTTAAAGTACAATGTTAAAAACAGTTTAAAATCACAAGCATAGGGCGAGTCCTTAAAATACATGTCTAAATTGTCAAAGGCCAGGATAAGGCCAATGAGCTATGTTAAGTTGACTCTTACGGACAGCAGTAAAGCTAGATTGTTTATTATGAGTCTTTATTTACCTCTCCATCAATCAAGAGTAAGAACAACCTACCTGGAAGCAGTATGGCTGCCTTCTTAATCCACAAGAATACCCTGTCTATCAATTCACTTTGGGAACATCAGGAAGATATGCACAGGCCTTGGGCGGCATATCACAATGACCTGGGCATGGATAGGCAGGCATTACAGTCAAGTGGGAAAATACCTGTTGTTTCTGAATGCTCCAGCTTCTATGGACCCATTAAGCATCACTTGAGTTATACCACAGGCTGCTTCTGCAAACTAAAACATATTTGAAAACATAGTTTAATGTAACAAGAGAACCTGCTCAATACCTTGTACCCACTTACAGTTTTGACCTTTCAATAGTCACCAATTTTATGAGTTTGCCTAAGTGAAGAAAAGGTTCTACAAGTGGTGTTAATTTCAAAATGCCCAACCATATTGGGGGAGCCAATAGAGTGCCTTCTAAATTTTGTTGGACTACAACTCCCATCTTCCCTGACCATTTGCTGTGCAGGCAGAGGCTGGCGAGAGAATTGTGATTCAACAGCATCTTGGCGGCACCAACTTGGCTATCCCTGGGTTAAGGGATACGATTTCGTTTTATTAGCCATTGGTTTTAATTCAATTGTGTATTAGTGAAGCATAATATATATTTCAGTATCGCTAACCTGGGTTGCATAGAACATACCATCTTGGACGACATTTTCCAGTACATTGAACTAGGGTTATTCTCACACTCAGTCCATTCGGGGCAAGATTCGTAGTTGACTCCTATAATAAATACAGTTTGAGCATAAATACAAGACTGATATATTGTGCCCTATGAGAGGGGAGGGAAGAAGAACTAAGTTTTAATGCAATGCCTCTGCTACAACTGGAAAGTAAGAATTTTAGGGTCTCAAGTAGAAAATAAACGCTCATAAATGTACATGGCAAACACATACCGGTACGTAAGTATATGAACCACGTGTCTGAAATAGTTTTGACTCTCCCAAATTGACCTCGATATATTTCTCCCCAAGGAGGGAGGAAATGGGGAAAGCCTTCCCTTTGTCTTTTTGCTTACAAATCCTGTCTTAAGGGCGTATTTGTGTATGAATAGGGTGACCCTGTGACCTGGATTCAGGAACTAAAAGTATTTACCATCACAAAAGAGTGGCCAGGCTGCCCAGGTAAAGCAATCAGTGACCATTAACAGATATCCTGGCAAACAGGATTTCGGCTGGAGACCGCCTCCTGTGAAGCATGTCTGATGTTTTGGGGGTTGGTCTTGGGCGCTGTGGGTTAAACCACAGAGCCTAGGGCTTGCCGATCAGAAGGTCGATGGTTCGAATCCCCATGACAGGGTGAGCTCCCTTTGCTTGGTCCCTGCTCCTGCCAACCTAGCAGTTCGAAAGCACGTCAAAGTGCAAGTAGATAAATAGGTACCACTTTGGCGGGAAGGTAAATGCGTTTCTGTGTGCTGCTCTGGTTCGCCAGAAGCGGCTTAGTCATGCTGGCCACATGACCCGGAAGGTGTACGCCGGCTCCCTCGGCCAATAAAGCGAGATGAGCACTGCAACCCCAGAGTCGGCCACGACTGGACCTAATGGTCAGGGCTCCCTTTACCTTTACCTTGGGCTAGAGGGTGGGCAATTTCAAAAGTCTATAGAAGAGTTTGCACACCATTGTTCCGGGTTCCTCCTCCCTCCTGCATGTGGTAGCGAGCACCCTGTTGCAACAGTTTAATAAACAGTTTACTAGCTGCTTTGCTTCTCAATATTCCTTGGTTGGCCTCTGCTATTTTCTCCTACCGACAGGAAACCCACTTAAGGACTCATTACGGGCTCTTGGAGACCCCATAAAGGAAAAGGAGCAGGTTTTTCTTATAACAGTGCAATGCCTCTGCTGCAACTGGAAAGTAGGGGTAAGGGTGAATTTGATGTCTACACACCATATAGAGCATCTATTGTACATTATTTCCATTGCTTTGATTTCTTTTCTTTTATTCTGAAGTTGTATCTTTCAATCACTGGTTAACAATACATTATTATATCCTTTCTACTTCAAATCTTCTAAAAGGATACAATTCCTACCCTCCCCCATACCAGAAGGGGGGGACCCTAAATCTCTTTTTTTTTTTTTGTAGAGAATAGGACACTCTTCTTACCTGGGCTGGAGGGGTCTCCACACCATGAGAGCCCATCTGCCATGTAGCCTAGTAAAGTGTCTTCCAATGTGAGGAAATCACGATTAGTTTTTGTGTAACGGTGTACAAGGTCTTTTGTCTTGCTCCAAAACAGCGACTGTAAGTAAAGTGTCAATATTGAATTCCTAGCTCTGACACATTTCCTGAACTATAACAGTAATATAACTCCTCCTCTTTCCATTTCTCTCCACAGTTTTCAGCTTTGGGCTTAAAGCTTTGGGATTTTTTAAAATATTTTTTTTTTGTCTTAAGGGGCACGAGACCCAGAAGTAGTGGCAGAAAATATTTGGGCATCTGTACAGATAAGAACAAAAAGTCTGGGTAGTAAGAATGGGTAGGTTCTGTTGTTTTGTTTTTGGTGCAATGTTTGCTCCACGAACTCCTGTGACCTCCCCCCCTTTGCTCATTATACAGTTATGCTTACATGTAGAGGGGGGTATCTTAATTTCTGCCAATTCCCCCTTCCAGTTTCAGGCCTTCCTGTGCTCTTCTAGATCTAATAAGTGGCTATTCTTTAGTAAAATCCATTCTTTCAACATAAACATAATTGTAAGTCAGGGAGAGCAAAACCGCCTCGCTCTTTGGTATCAATCATAATTTTATGTTTTATTCTGGATTTTCTCTCCTGCCAAATAAACTTAGAAAGCTCTTTCTGTCATTCCTTGAAGTTTCAAATGTTATTAACTATAGGTACTGTCTGGAATAGGATTAGTATTTTGGGACTATGTTCATTTTTATAGCCGAAATTTTGTCCAGCAAAGACAATTGCATTCTACTCCAGATTTTCAGGTCTTTTTTTATTTCTTTCCAAACCTTTATGAAGTTATCATTAAAGATGTGATTATTCGCCATTAACCAAATTCCCAGGTATTTCACTTTCTTTTCACTCTTTATATCACTAGTTCTTTCTAAGTGTTTTGTAAGGGGACAATCCATATTTTTGACTAAAATTGCTGTTTTTTGTTTATTCAGTTTAAAGCCTGCTAGATTGCCAAATTCCCTTATATCTTCCAATACTGCTGGTACACTTTCTAGTGGGTTTTCTAAGGTCAAATAATATTATCTGCATATGCTTTTAACTTAGAATTTTGCTGACCCACTCTTATACCTCTTCTTTTGTCATTCTTTCTTATCTTTGTGCCAGTTACTTCTGAAATCAAAATAAACAATAATGGGGACAATGGGCAGCCTTGTCTGGTTCCTTTCATAACTGTACACCCATCAGATATAGTTTTATTTACAATAATATTTGCTCGTTGTTCAGTATATATTGCTTCTATAGCCTTTAAAAATATTTTCCCCAAATCCATTTTCTTCAGGACTCTTTTCATAAATATCCAAGACACATTGTCGAATGCCTTCTCCGTGTCCAGAAATATCAATGCTGCCTGTTTTTCGTTATGCACTTCTAGGTATTCTATTATGTTTATAATATTCCTAACATTATCTTTTAATGGTCTGCTGGGGAGAAAGCCTGCTTGGTCCTCACGTATTAAGCCACTAATAATTTTTTGAGTCTATTTGCTAATATTGTTGCAGATAACTTACAATTGCAGTTTAATAGCTATATCGGGCAGACGTTTTTGGGATTTGTCCTGTCTTTATCTTGTTTGGGTATCAAAGTGATATAAGCCTCCTTCCAAGTTTCTGGTGCTTGTCCTATTTCTAACACTTTGTTATAATATATTTTAGGTATAGGCCTAACTCATCCTGAAACTTTTTGTAGTACTCCACCAGGAGCCCATCTGGTCCTGGGGCTTTCCCAGATTTTCCCTGGCTTATAACCTGATATACTTCCATCGTGGAGATTGGCGCATTTAATAGCTCTGCACTTTCTCTAAAAATATTACCTAATTTACTTCGCTCTATATAATTCTCTATAAGTTTGAAGTCTTCTTTTTCTCTTTTATACACATCTATGTAAAAGGTAAAGGGACCCCTGACCATTAGGTCCAGTCGTAGCCGACTCTGGGGTTGCGGCACTCATCTTGCTTTACTGGCCGAGGGAGCCGGCGTACAGCTTCCGGGTCATGTGGCCAGCATGACTAAGCCGCTTCTGGTGAACCAGAGCAGCACACGGAAACGCCGTTTACCTTCCCGCCGGAGCGGTACCTATTTATCTACTTGCACTTTGACGTGCTTTTGAACTGCTAGGTTGGCAGGAGCAGGGACCGAGCAACGGGAGCTCACCCCGTTGTGGGGATTTGAACCGCCAACCTTCTGATCAGCAAGTCCTAGGCTTGCGCCACCTGCGTCCCAACACATCTATGTAAAACCTCACAAATTCCTGTCTGATTTCTTTTGGATTGTTTATGTGTACTCCATCCTTCACCAGCTCATTAATTATCGTATTTTTCGCCCTATAGGACGCACCGTCACATAAGGCGCACCTAGTTTTTTGGGGGGGAAATAAAGGGGGAAAAATTTATTCCCCCCCAGGTGTGGGGCTGGGGCGGGGGAAGCACGAGCTTCCCCCGACCCCAGTCCCCAGAACAGGCAACTCTCCGCAAGCTGCGGGAGCCCGCCGCCGGGCTCCCGCGCCATGCGGAGAGCTGAGCGAAGTCTGGGCGTGCTGAGAGCAACGCGCCCAGCCTTCGGCATGCAGGCAACTCTCCGCAAGCCGCAGGAGCCCAGCGCAGGGCTCCTGCGGCTTGTGGAGAGCCGTGCAAAGTGTGGGCGTGCTGAGCGCAGCGCGCCCAGCCTTCGGCATGCAAGCAACTCTCCGCAAGCTGCGGGAGCCCAGCGCTGGGCTCCTGCGCCTTGCGGAGAGCCGCGCGAAGTCTGGGCGTGCTGAGCGCAGCGCGCACAGCCTTCGGCATGCAGGCAACTCTCTGCAAGCCACGGGAGCCCCTGGCTTGCGGAGATCTGCGCGAAGCCTGGAGAGCGAGAGGGGTCGGTGCGCACCGACCCCTCTCGCTCTCCAGGCTTCAGCGAATGCCTGCATTTGCCCCATAGGACGGACGCACATTTCCCCTTCAAAAAGTGCGTCCTATGGGGCGAAAAATACGGTAATCTTTGTCTACTCACTTTTTAAAGTTGCCATGCCAGTAACTTTCCTGGTTTATTTGCAAATTCAAAATTCCTTTGTTTTGTTTTTGTTGTTGTTTAGTCATTTAGTCATGTCCAACTCTTCGTGACCCCATGGACCAGAGCACGCCAGGCACTCCTGTCCTCCACTGCCTCCCGCTCCCTTTGTTTTACAAACTTAATTTTCCTTTCTATTTATTGGTTTACAAGCATTGAATATTGTATCTGTAAGAAATTAATTTTTTGAAGTTTCTCTTTATTTCCTGCATCTGTAACCAATTCTTTCTCTTTCTTTATTAATTTGTCAGATATTTCCAATTTCTTACATTCCCTTACTTTCCTCTGGTATGCACATTTCTGAATAAAATAACCTCTTAAAACTGCCTTATTTGCATCCCAAACAGTTTTTAAGTCAACATCTTGATTACAATTTAATTCAAAATATTCTTTAATAATTTTCTTGAGAAATTAACAAGCACAAAATAACTACCTGATTACATGGGATGGATTGTCTGGCCAGGTCCATCAGAGGCTGGAAATCTTCCTCTGTCGCCCTGCATGGATGCTTGTACATAAAGGCATTTTGAAATAGCTCCCAAATTTTGAGACAGTCTTTGTCTCTGTAGAACAAACAAACAAACAAACAAACAAACACAGGGGTCTTTGAGAATGGCTGCTGTTCAGCCTGACACTATTAAACGTGAATTGTACAAAATAGTATTTGGATAATGAGAAAGCACTCCTAATTCCTAAGCATAATGGAAGTCTGACAACCTGCCTTTCCCTCTCCTGAGCAGCCCAAGAAATGTACTTCTGATTAAGAGGATTATGTCAACTAAAAGCAGTAGTCGTAGTAAACTATGAGTATAACAGTAGGCTAACCAACATGCTTGAGTCTCATTAATTTCTCTTTCAACTGTGGAGATGGAAGTTATATTGAAATTAATGCTGCTTTATCTGGAGGCTGGGACGCAGGTGGCGCTGTGGGTTAAACCAAAGAGCCTAGGAATTGCCAATCAGAAGGTTAGCGGTTTGAATCCCCGTGACGGGGTGAGCTCCCATTGCTCAGTCCCTGCTCCTGCCAACCTAGCAGTTCAAAAGCACGTCAAAGTGCAAGTAGATAAATAGGCCACGACTTGACCTAATGGTCAGGGGTCCCTTTACTTTTATCTGGAGGCTGATATTCAGAGCAACAGTGAGAAACATACACTGTACCAACAGAGAAAGAATAGGGCACATTTGCTTGCTGTGGGGCAACATTTCAAGCGGAGACATGACATCATTGGGAAAAGGTGGGCAGCAACAGATGCTCCTTGGGGTCAATGAGAAACGCTCTTGCCCTCAGAATACTAGACCTGGCGTCTGTGAAAACATACTGGGGAGTGTACCCTGCAGACTCCATAATGAAGGAGCACTTCCTTATGGTCTGAGAACCTCTGCTGTAGAGAATCCCACACCACCTGTATAATATTTGATGGGGGTGTCTAACCAGGCAAGTTACAGGCTTACCTATTTTGACCCAAGGCTCATATTCACCCTTGACGAACCCTCCATACCAGTGATGGGTTTGGCCAAAAGTAGGCTTTGCCCCCTTGTGCACAACACACAGGCCCTCCCGGAATCTGCTGATCCAATTCTGCACAAAGTAGCCCAAAAGGACATCTCCTCCACCCTGACTCCAGGTCATAATGCATCTTGATAAGAGATAAATAGTTAATCTGATAACAAGGGAGAGGGCAATTTGGATCTTTATCAGGGTACTGGGCTGGGTGGAGAAGTTTAAACTTTCCTACTGCCCCAGAACCATCCAGATTAATGACGATGATTATGTTTAGTTTTTTATATATAAAAAACCATCACCAAAATAGATGCAGCCTGACAGGGCAGAATCTTTCTGGGGGAGGGCTGAATTATTGCTTTTTGCATTGTTGGGGAACTGCAACAGGAAAAAGCAACTATTTGTTTTTTCTGTGTACAGTGGTACCTCGGGTTACATACGCTTCAGGTTACATAGGCTTCAGGTTACAGACTCCGCTAACCCAGAAATATTACCTCGGGTTAAGAACTTTGCTTCAGGATGAGGACAGAAATCGTGCTCCGCCAGCGCGGCAGCAGCAGGAGGCCCCATTAGCTAAAGTGGTGCTTCAGGTTAAGAACAGTTTCAGGTTAAGAACGGACCTCCAGAACGAATTAAGTACGTAGCCAGAGGTACCAATGTAGTTAGAGAAGTAAGAACCGTAAAAACTCCCCAAACCTTTTGCAGCTTGAGCTCTCTTTATCTTCCTATGAAAGTGTAAATCAGTGTGAAATACAGCCACCATGTGGAAGAGAGAGAGAGAGATACACCGAAAGCAACATTTGTAGCAGCATAGTTAAAAAGCGGAGACATCACCTTGCCAACAAAGGTCCGTATAGTTAAAGCCATGGTTTTCCCAGTAGTGATGTATGGAAGTGAGAGCCGGACCATCAAGAAGGCTGATCACCAAAGAATTGATGCTTTTGAATTATGGTGCTGGAGGAGACTCTTGAGAGTCCCATGGACTGCAAGAAGACCTATCCATTCTTCAGGAAATCAGCCCTGAGTGCTCACTGGAAGGACAGATCATGAAGCTGAGGCTCCAATACTTTGGCCACCTCATGAGAAGAGAAGACTCCCTGGAAAAGACCCTGATGTTGGGAAAGATGGAGGGCACAAGGAGAAGGGGACGACAGAGGTTTAGATGGTTGGACAGTGTTCTCGAAGCTACAAACATGAGTCTGACCAAACTGCGGGAGGCAGTGGAAGACAGGAGTGCCTGGCGTGCTCTGGTCCATGGGGTCATGAAGAGTCGGACACGACTAAACGACTAAACAACAACAACAGTTATCCAGTGATTGAAAGATGTTCTATGCTCAAACTGTCTTGCTCTGGCTGCTGAATTCTACAACAGTTGAAATTTCCAAACCGTCTTCAGTAGAGGTTACCAGAGCATAGGTGACAAAGGTTAGGCTATCTCTGTCCAGCTGGGGCACAGCTGGACCGCCAGCCGCAGCTGATGGATAGCACCCCCCACCACTGAGGCCAGGATCCAGGAGCACCCCCAAGCTACATACCTGCTCCTTCAGAGGAAGCGTAACCCCATCAAGAGCAGGCCACCTCCCAGCCATCTGGTTTAAGGAACCACTCACGAACAGTGCCTTGGTCTTATCTGGATTGAGCTTCAGTTTGTTGGCTCTCTTTCAGTCCATTACCAAGGCATGGCAATGCTCAGAAGTAAGTCCCACTGTGTTAAGTGCAAGTAAGACTGTAGCCCAAGTTAGCTACCGATAAAAGGAAATCTGTCTTTTTAATAAGAAGGCAAAAAATCAAATAGTTCTGAAGATAAATATTAGGATTCCCAGGGTGTGTGTACTGTATAGCTACTGTTTCCACAGGTGCTTCCCCAAACTGCTTTCTTCCATGTTCACAGGACATTTGTTTCAACTGTAAGTAAGCTAAACAAGGAGGCAACAAGACAAACCTAGGATGGTGTTCAAAATAGTCATTATTTAAAACTGAAGTCAATGGACTCAAGTAAGTTCATTGATTTCAATGGGTCTACTCTGCATAGGACTTAGAAGGGTACCATCCCATCAATACAACTCTAAACTGGTGGTAGAAGAGAGGGGAGACTTCTTCCCTTTTCGAGCCATATTTTCTCAGTCTCAGAGAAGTGGAAAGACTTCCTAGCAAAGACAACCTGTAATACACATTTTTGCTGGAGAAAGAAAATAAATGGTCATTTCCAAGCTTTGGGGGAAAGTAGTCACCCCCCCTGCTTTCTCCCTTTAAATGTCATAGAAGTCTGAATGCTTGCTGAATTCAGAAAAAAAGAGCTCTTTCAGGTTTTCTTGCATGCCTCTGAAAGTTCTTGCCAATTTCAGAGGTTCTGAAAAAAATGGCTTTTCAAAGCCTCTTTGTAAGCTTTGTTTTCTTTTGGTTTATTACTGCATACAAAGTCCATGACATAAATAAAGCAGAACTGGTCACCAACTCACACCCAGGCAATATCACACTCTGATAAAGAGCTAGCAAATTCACATTATTTTTTTACATGTGCTTCAGTCACAATATAAATGCATATAGGTAAGGGGTTATCCCGGGCTGTAAAGATTTGTTTTAAAATGCTGACATTTGAAGTAGTGATCCCAATTAGTAGCAGTGTGCACGTGACTGAAGCCTGAAGACTTACGGGCAGACTCCATGCTACACAAACACCTGGAACAATTGCTCAATAAAATTGAACCCTGAACCCTGCTAACTATCTCAAGGGGTCTGAATTTTGAGAACTTTTGGTTCAAGTTTTAACCTTTAAACTAAGAGGGAAATCGACTATAGTTAAGGACACACTTGGCCTACTAGAGCATTGCTCCATGATGTTATTGTTGTGAATTAGGGGAGGGCATGTCCTACTGTGACCACAAGTAGGTAAAGGGACCCCTGACCGTTAGGTCCAGTCGTGGCCAACTCAGGGGTTGCAGCGCTCATCTCACTTTACTGGCCGAGGGAGCCGGCGTTTGTCATCAGACAGCTTCTGGGTCATGTGGCCAGCATGACTAAGCCGCTTCTGGCGAACCAGAGCAGCGCATGGAAACGCTGTTTACCTTCCTGCCCGAGCGGTACCTATTTATCTACTTGCACTTTGTATTTTCGAACTGCTAGATTGGCAGGAGCTGGGACCGAGCAACAGGAGCTCACCCCGTCGTGGGGATTCAAACTGCCAGCCTTCTGATCGGCAAGTCCTAGGCTCTGTGGTTTAACCCACAGTGCCACCCGCGTCCCTGTGATCACAAGTACTTGAAATTATATGTAGCTATCCTCTGAATGGATAGGCCAACGACTGGACCTAATGGTCAGGGGTCCCTTTACCTTTATCCTCTGAATGACCTGCCATCTCTGCACAAGCAAGAGGAGCTCAGCAAGGCAACTAGGAAAGATGACAAAGGGAACTCTTCACAGCTAAACCTCACTCTTACCAGAGATAAAATGGGTACTTTGAACTCATTGTTTTTGGTACACTGTACATTCACAAACCCCATACTCACATGTTTGGTATGTACAGTCGTACCTTGGAAGTTGAATGGAATCCGTTCCAGAAGTCCATTTGACTTCCAAAATGTTTGGAAACCAAAGCGCAACTTCTGATTGGCTGCAGGAAGCTCCTGCAGTCAATCAGAAGCTGCAGAAACCCCATCGGACGTTCAGCTTCCAAAAATAGTTTGCAAACCAGAACAGTCACTTCTGGGTTTGCAGCGTTTGGGAGCCAAAACATTCGAGAACTAAGCTGTTCAAAAACCAAGGTATGACTGTATACAATTAGATGGTTGTAGGAAAGATGGAATCAACTTCAGCAACCAAGAAGTTGTAATTAGGGGAAGTTACTTTTCACGTTTTGTCTTTATCTCAGTTTGATGCACCTTTGGGAACCCCAGTATTCCTGGAGGTATGCATCATCTAAAAATGGGAATCTTCACTTTGGCATTTTTGTTAAATAGCACCTTTTGAAATCCAAGGTTGAGGATTTTACCTCTTTACAGTTTGCCAAGTGCAAAAGAACCGTCAATGGGCACTGACTTCCAGACATTTCTAAAAACCACATTCTGAATGAGATGGCAACTTACAGGCAAATGCCCAAGCAGCCGCTCTTGGTCCAGAGCAGAGATGCTGCGTTTCCAGGGTTACCAAGAAGAAAACTGGGACATACGAGCCATCAATCCTGAGTAGACTCTGAGTTTTTGCTTTAAGTGTGGAATTTTAATGAGACATATCTGCCCTATTGTCCTATCATCATACTTCTCTTAAATTTTAAAATGCATGTATGAGTTGAATAGAACTTAGGTTAAATGTTCTAGTTGAGGACTTTGATGACCCCACAGTGCATTCTAACTACTCATGAATTATTATACAGTGGTACCTCAGGTTACATACGCTTCAGGTTACATACGCTTCAAGTTACAGACTCTGCTAACCCAGAAATATTACCTCAGGTTAAGAACTTTGCTTCAGGATGAGAACAGAAATTGTGCTCCGGCAGCGCGGCAGCAGCAGCAGGAGGCCCCATTAGCTAAAGTGGTGCTTCAGGTTAAGAACAGTTTCAGGTTAAGTACGGACCCCCGGAACGAATTAAGTACTTAACCTGAGGTACCTCTGTATTTTTAATGGCTTTATGAATGTGTGTAAATAAGGAAGTAGGGGGGAAAGGGATGATCCAAATGCTATTTAGCTCACTCTTTTGTGGGGGATGTTTATTCAAAAAATGTCAAATCTGTGTGCAAATAGTTCTCCCTGCAAACATTACCTAAAACTTTCATTCTTTCATGCCAAACTCAGCGACTTTCAGAAGTAATAAAAACACTGCAGTTAAGTTTGCAAGTTTTCAGACCCATAATGTTGGTGCAATATAGAGAACGAGCAAGAAAGGAGAATTCCTGAATGAAAGTGCTCTTTGATGAGAGAACCCCAGGAGAGATTTAAAATCACAAAATATGCAGCAAAGTAAAGGGTGGAAATATAGGCTAGATTGTTAGATTTTTAAAATATGTGTCCTTCCAAGTGAGTTCCAGAATGTCTGCTTGTTTCTTTCCAAAGTTTTCCTCTTCCCCCAGCTGAGGAAAAGATCACACCTGGAGAAGTTTTAAAAATGGTTTACTTACAAAACTCAGGTCCTTCAGAAAAGTTGCATGGGCAGTAATATTTAGCTTAGTTACAAAGTGGTGATCGTTCCTAAATTATTGGTATCGGAACTCGGGTGGCTTATGAGAACCATATAGTTTAGCTGGAGGAACCAGCTCCAACCTCTTCACTCACTGAGCTTCTCAGGTAGACTGGAGGAGAACAAAGGCTTGATTACTTAGTTCCTCCCAATCTGAGGGGAAGTGGACATAGTAACCTAGCAGGACAGCTTACTCTGTGGTATTAACCCCTTCATGCATTGATTAAACTTAAGCATTTTGTTTTTTTGAGGTTGGTTATTCCACACATAGAACCTATGACAGAATTTGAAACTGGAAATAAAAATACATAGTAAACAAGAAATTAATGTCTATTAAAAAGGGTGTACTGTGCCTAGAGCTCACAAACTGCTTGCACTAATGAAACTCCCTGTCGCAAAATGTGCCTGGAACGATGGGAGTTTCTAACACTGGTCCTTGCACTCAGACACTTCACTGTAACTCTCCATTTTCTCTTTCCTTTATTTTAAAACGGGAAAGCAAATGATATTTCAAATCTAGGACTAGGTTCTTGTTGGTGGTGACACACATTAAAAACAGAAGTAAGCATGGGCACTTCCACCCTCTATCAGCAACTGAAATTATATATAGATTTTTTCATGCATAGGCACCAGCAGGGTACATGTGATACTCCTAGAGATTGAAGTGGAGGGGGAGAGATTTAACTCTTACCCTCCCTAGGAACATCCTATGCACACAAAACAACTATGGGTGGGGGGACCTCTTTTGTGCCTAAGTGCTGCATGCTGGGGTGTTTGAAGTGGGGATGGTCATAGCTGGAGAGGAGATAGAGAAAAGTGCCTCCCCACCTCCAAACAGCAGCCTCTTGTGCCACAATTTAGCTTGAAGGAAAGCTAGTGACCACTATTGATCCAAATGAACATGAGCCATCAAGTCCCTCTGCTAAATTGCAGTCTGAAATGGTATTGTGCGGAAATGTTTCATGAACTGATTCTGTATGAACTGGCTCTTACTTGAAACGCCCTAAGTGATTCACATGGTTCTAGCAGGAACCATGCATTTTTCAAGTGCACTTACACTTCTTTAAGCTGAATTTTGCAATAAGTAATTATAAGTAGAATGACAAACATATAAATTTAGCTTTGGAGATGAGCACCTCCCAGAGGATTTTTCAGCACAACTGGGTCAGTTGCAGTGCCCAGAAAGGTTTTTAATTAAATGGTGATGCAGACCTGATGAAGGACTAAAGGAAGTCTGGGCAAGAATTTGTGGCGCTAAAATGTTTAGTCGTTGAAGCAAAGCCAGAAACTTGGAACAAAGAAGTCTTTTTCCCCCTTCACAAGCACAGGCTTTGAACACTGAAGGGGTAGGAGGTATTGCCCTTCTCGGGAACTTATCAAGCAAATGGAAGAAAGATCAAGACAGATGCCATGGGCTCTGTGACATTCCTTCTGAAATAATGTTGGTGACTAGAAGTATTAATAATAGGCCTAAAATGAGAAATGAAGGCCATGGATTGGGGGATGAGGAAGATAAGCGAACTAATGCCAGTGTACTGGAAGAAGCAAAGATCACCAGTGTGGAAGCAATGATTCTTCAACATCAACTTCGTTGGACTGGTCATGTTGTGCAGATGCCTGATTATCATCTTCCAAAGCAACTACTCTATTCCGAACTTAAGAATGGAAAGCGAAATACCGATGGACAACAAAAGGGGTTTAAAGACACTCTCAAGAAAAGAAAAAAGATACTCTCAAGGCAAATCTTTAGAAATGTAGTATAAGCACCGATAACTGGGAAACACTGGCCTGCGAGTGCTCCAACTGGAGAACAGCCATTACCGAAGGTGTCAGGGACGCACAAACTCAGGGCGAAAAGGAGAAAGGAGCTAAGAAGAAGGCACATTTGGCAAAACCTCACTGTGATCAACTCCAGCCCAGAAATCTGTCCCCACTGTGGAAGGACTTGTGGATCCAGAATTGGCCTCCACCGTGACTTACGGACTCACTGTTAAGACCGTGTTCATGGAAGACAATCTTACTTGGCTATGAGTGATTACCAAAGAAGAAGATTGCACTAGATGAAACATTAAAAATAGAACAAAATCATGATACTGATGTTCAGAAGCACCTACTTTGTGATCAGAGCTCTTTAGAGAAAACCATTTCCTGCCAACATGAATAAGCTGGACAGTTTTTAGGAGTTATCATGCAAGATTGAAGAATTTCCAAAAATAGGCATCTTGTTAGTGTGCAGAATTTAGCATTTATTTTCAAATTTTCAAAGCGATTCACATGCATTCCCATCTTTAAATCCTTGAAAACAATCCTGTGAAATAAGTCAGCATTGTCATCAACACCATATGAAAAGGCTGAGGCAGTGATGGGTGGCAAGCTTAAGAATTCCTCTACTGAATTCAAAGCAGAGGCAAGAGTCCTAGTTCTTGATTCTGATGTAAAACACTCAGAATTTGGGTTTGGGGTCCCAAAGGGCTCCGCTACGGTTGGAGGAGAAGACGGGTGATGTCCAACCACGGAGAGAAAGCATCATGTGGCTTTTTAAAAGCACAAATCCTTTATTCAGTTGCAACCGGGTTCCCTACACAAAGGTGACAAAAGGTATGAGGAACCCTGCCCAAAGGTAAGTTCAGAATTTTATAGAGTCGCAGTTGTGGGGGGTCTTATTTGTCACAGGTTTGTCAATTTACAAGGTAAGGGGGAGGGACATAGTGCAAAAGGGAGGTTCGGGTGCAAGATACAAGGTGGGGTGCAAATCCTATCTATATGAGTAAGGTAATACCTGGAAGACGCGGGTGGCGCTGTGGAAGCTTATCAGGTTCCTTGATGAGAAGAGAAGAGGTAAATGGCAAACTATCTTTTCTGGCAGACAGCTTTTCATCATTATCTTCCTTCAGAAAAGGATGATAGAGCTTTAGCCCTTTCAGTGTTGTTGTCCCAGACAGCCTAATCAGTAGTGATGGATGAGGGAGCTGCTGGAGTTGGAATCCAACAGCATCTGGAGGGCTCTACAATAGGGAGACTTCTTTCCTAGAACCATATTGTAGAGTAAGAAGGGATCCCAAGGGTCATCTAGTCCAACCCCTACAATGCAGAATCTCAGCTAAAGAATCCATGACAGAAGCAGATATCTGCTTAAAAACCTCCAGCAAAGGAGAGTCCACAACCTCCTGAGACCGTTCCACTGTCAGAAAGTTTCCCCCGATGCTTAGTTGGAATCTCCTGACTTGTGATTTTAATCCACTGGTTCGGGTCCTAGTCTCCAGAGCAGGAAAAAACAATCTTGCTCCATCTTCCATGTGATAGCTCTTGAGATAAGATATGTTTGCTTGACCTTAGTACAGTTGAATGTTTGAAATGCACAATATACTATAGAGGTCTCTCTACATCACAAAAGGTTCACTTGACAAGAAAGAAGAAAAAATCCTATTGAAAAGTTATTACATAAAGTCACAGAAGTGATGAAGACATAGAATTCTTCTCTATGCACCAGAGAGACAACTTCAGGTGGAGCTAGAGGGGTTGAAGGACTACAGTGCCCAGGAAGTCACAGACAAACTTCCTCCCTGCCAGAAAGCAGAACGAACTTGGAACTATTTTTCTTTTTACATTTTTCTCCCTCCTGGTTAGAAAGCAGAATAATAGGTTGTATTTTCTTTCTTTCTTTTCATTAACTTTCACTTTAATTGCCTGCAAACTCCAATTTCCTTAAATACCGTATTTTTCGCCCCATAGGACGCACTTTTCCCCCTCCAAAAATGAAGGGGAAATCTCGCGCTCCAGGCTTCAGGAAGCTATCCGCAAGCCTGGGGAGCCCGCGGGAGTTCCCGCACGGCTCCCTAGGCTTGCGGATAGCAGCCTGCTGCCCGAAGCCAGGGGAGCGCTGAAGCAGCGCACCCTGGGCTTTGGGCAGATATCCGCAAGCCTGGGGAGCCCACAGGAGTTCCCGCATGGCTTCCTAGGCTTGCGGATAGCAGCCTGTTCTGGGGGCTGGGGTCGGGGGAAGCTCGGGCTTCCCCCGCCCCAGGGAAAAAAATAATAATTCCCCCCCCCAAAAAAAACCTAGGTGCGCCCTATAGGCCAGTGCGCCCTATGGGGCGAAAAATACGGTACATTTGATTTCACTTTTCAATCCTACAGGATAAATTCCTCAGCCCTTCTCACACTTCAGTGGAGTGTATGCTCCCAAGGAAGATAAAAGGGAGTTATTTTGTAAGATGTTTTAGACCCATTCTCCCCACCACTCAAAAAATAGGGATTAGAGGTTTCGTAGCAGCCTAAAATCACAAGGCAACTAAAGATTTGTGTCTTTAAGATAGTGACAAGGGGATTGTTTGTGACCCTCACACATAATCTCTACAGTGACTAGATTAACTGTATTAAAATAATCTGACCCACTTCCTGTGGTAAAAGAAGAGAGGGGAGTTTACGGGATCAGAGGAAATGCTTTGAGGTATCACAATGCTTTTCTGAGAAATGACTACCCACTCAAAGAGCAGGCGGACACGTCTTCTGTAACGCTCTACTCAAAGCTTACAGAGCTCCACAGAGAACCTATTCAAGGACCAGTTCAGATCAGATCACAACATATCAGAAGCAGTGAGTAGGTACATAATCCAGATAGCTGACTATCCGCTAAAGAGGTCAAAGAAGTCAAAATACCACAGAAGCCAATTACCGCTAAAGCCAAAATACCACAGGAGATGGCAGCTTGCCAACCTACTCAACTTAAATTATGATGACTAGGCAGTTTTGGTTTCTGAACAAATAAAAGCTAATCGCTGGTTTTTTCAAAATTGGGGAGAAGGGTGCTCGCTTTGGCAGCACATATACTAAAATTGGGGAGAAGGAGGTCTACATGATGCCACACAGGAAAGGAGGAGGGGAGACACATTTTGCAAACCATTTCCATGTAGAAAGAGTGCATCCTATATGTGGATGATCATGGGCTGAATGCACATGAATGCAACTTGAACATGGGTTGCTTCAAACAACAACAATATACAAGTCTACTTTGCATATGGTCTTGGGCAATTTTCTGATGTATATAGGTATATGTGTAAATGTAATCCATAATTTACACGCAGCAACCATTATATTTTATGTACAAATGTAAGTGCACTGCACATATTATATGTAGGAATTTTATCAAATTTGAAGCCGCTACAACAACAACAACAACAACAACAACAACAACAACAACAACAACTTATTGTTTTTACCCCGCCCATCTGGCTGGGTTTCCCCAGCTACTATGGGCAGCTCCCAACAGAATATTAAAAACACGATAAAAGATCAAACATTAAAAACTTCCCTAAACAGGGCTGCTTTCAGATGTATTCTAAAAGTCAGGTAGTTGGACTGGATGGCCCTGGGGTTAGACTCGATGGCCCTTGTGGTCTCTTCCAACTCTATGATTCTATGATTCTATCTGATGGTGTTTCCTGCTTGGCAGGGGGTTGGACTCGATGGCCCTTGTGGTCTCTTCCAACTCTATGATTCTATGATTCTATGATTCTAGTTGTTTATTTTCTTGACATCTGATAGGAGAGCATTCCACAAGGTGGGCGCCACTACCGAGAAGGCCCTCTGCCTGGCTCCCATCATTTACCCAGATAAAGGCTGAACAGATGAAAAGTGAGCCTTCTGGTGAATATCTCGAACAGGTCTTTCGGTAGCAGATGCCAAACGTTCCTCATATGGCCAAAGTCTGCTTCGCACCAACCTCTCCCTCTAGTCAGAGACAGTATTATTTCCTCATTGCAACATTGTGATAAGGTTCAACAAATGCTATTACAAGATACTGTAAGGTTCAATAAGTTCTTCTGTTGACAAGTTTTTACAACATGCCTCTGAGCACCAAAGCTAGTAAGATAATGAAAATATTGTGATTTGAGTCCCAATCAACCACATCTTTTCTCATGTATTTGGTGATTTCAACACTTCCCCCCTGACTCTTATTTAAAAGTCAAAGACTGCAGCCCTAAACCCAATGTACTGATTTCATTGAATTTAGTAGCCCTTGTTTCTGAGTAAACCACACATAGAATTGTACTACCAGGCCGTAATTCGGTTCATACTTACTTGGCAGCTATTTCAACTAAATGGAGTTGGATTAAGTTCTGGAGAAATATGGGTAGAACTGTACTGGGAGCCTCAAACCAGGAACAAGAAGCCCCCAAGTTAAAATGTCATTTCTGTCGTAACATCACTAAATGGCTTTGATCAAGTCAGTATTCTTTAGACATGCCATCTCCAATAACATTAACCTACCTCACAATGCCATTGTATGGATTTCTGAGCTGATGTACATTAAGCACTTCAAAAACTGTGAACATTTTAAGTATTGCTAAAAAAAAATACATTTCTGACCCGTCCAATCTACTTACTCATACATACAGGAAACCCTCCCCTGCTTTCATTTAAAATACCCACTTCTAAATACCATCTTTGCTTGTGCAATTCTTACACTTTTAGCAGCTGTGTAACAGGCCAGAATTCAAAAGGTGGAACTTTCCCAAATCACTGCATGCTGGAGAAAGCCAAGCTCCTTATTATCATGCATATAAGAGAGATATAAAAGCCCTGAACAATTCCAATGCAGGGACTGTTCAGCTAGTTTTCAGTCCAGCTTTTTAGCACTTTGGGGAGGAAATGAACAGCTTCAGATCTCAGCCTATACATTTTTCTCTAGAATAGCTGCCGTCCAGTTTCCCTGCTGCTCCTTCTTTGTCTACACTGCGCACTGCTGCTTTTATTCTTCAAAAGTGTATTCTTAGCACTCACCTGAGCTCAGGATTCACTATGGCAATGTAGTTGTGACATCTCCCCAAGACGATTTCCTGCAGCTGTTTAGTGGTCCCTTGGCCTTTCCACTGCAATACTTCTGAGCCAGGGGTTCCTTTCCTTCCAGGTATGAACACCGCAAGCAACACAGCACTCACTAAGACAACTAAAACAACCATGGTCCCTGCCAATATCAGTTTGTGCCGTTGGGTCCTGGAAGAGCTGTTTGGAAAGGGCATCTCGCTGCAAGTTTCTGAAAAGCAGCAACAGCTGCTGCTTCTGTTTCATTCATCCTTGGCAGAAAAGTCACTTTCTTATATCTCCTCCTCCTCCTCCTCCTCCTTTCTCCCTTTCTGTTTCTCCCCCCCCCCCCCCATGTAAAGACCAATGAGCAGAGGAGCATGAGTTGCATTTCTATTGGTTTAGATAAAAAGGCTGCACCCGAAGCAGGGCAGATCTCTGCAGCACCCTGCAAATTTGATATAGTGACCAGACATTCCTGTTCTTAAATACATTGTCTGTATTTAGGTCTGCTACGCAGTCTTTGTAATCTGCTTCTCACAAGGAGGGCACTCATGTCCCACCCTTGTCAAAAACTGCAGAGGGAAGATTTTGCAAAGTAAATCAAGGGCTCTCTGAAACAGAGAGAAAGGAATCCCTTCCAGCCAGTGTTTTCTTTTCTAAAAAAAATAAAATGCAGTGGTAACTCGGGTTACGAACTTAATTCGCTCTGGAGGTCCATTCTTAACCTGAAACTGTTCTTAACCTGAGGCACCACTTTAGCTAATGGGGCCTCCCGCTGCCGCTGCACTATTTCCGTTCTCATCCTGAAGCAAAGTTCTTAACCCGAGGTACTATTTCTGGGTTAGCAGAGTCTGTAACCTGAAGCGTCTGTAACCCGAGGTACCACTGTAACCCAAGGTACCTGGAAGTAGTTGCTCCGGGTTGCGAACTTTGTCCCAGGATGAAAACGGAAATCGTGCGGTGGTGGCATGGTGGCAGCAGGAGGCCCCATTAGCAAAAGCGCACCTCAGGTAAAGAACAGTTTCAGGCTAAGAATGGACCTCCAGAACGAATTAAGTTCATAACCCGAGATACCACTGTAATGCTTAGGGGTACTCTCATTTTGACTCAAGAAAACCACCATTTTATAGTTCAAATCAGGAAAAATAAATACAGTAAATGGACAAAAGTGCAATGATTCACAAACTGTTTAGGAGTATGCACAGGGCCGGATTTAGGTTTGATGAGGCCCTAAGCTACTGAAGGTAATGGGGCCCTTTATATGTCCAGCTGTCCTTTGTCAACAACAAATTGCTGCTGTTTCATGTGTTGAATATATGCCATATGGTAATTTATGGACCTAATAGGTATCTAAATTCATTTGCACATAACAAATAGGAGCCTACACAACACAAAACACTGTTGCTGTATGTAGGTTTTATTTTATTTGTCTTTTATCTTATATTTTGGAAATGTACATCCAGTTTTTTTCCCTTTAATTTTTTTTGGGGGGGCCCTAAGCTATAGCTTCCTTAGCTTATATGTAAATCCGGCAGTGGGGTATGCGTACCCCTGCATCCCCCCAGAAAAAAGCACTGCTTCCAGCTATTAAACAGTTGTTATTCTTTTCTGCCTAATTCTCATCTTTTTGCAAGGCGGTCTGCCAATATGTTTAAATTGAATGCAAACCTTCGTTACAAAGTATGCTGATATAAATAAACTGGGCGGAAACATAGTTTTGGAATTCTCCTTAAAAAGAAAAAGACATTCTCAACAAGCCAAATAACAAGGTAGTTTGTGACAACTTTCAGAGCGGTAGCGTGTTAGTATTTTGCAGCAAAAATTACTTTTCCTGTGGCACATTAAACACTAATGATAAATTTATTATCAAAAAGCAAAATCAACAAGAAAATTTCCAAAATCCACATTAGAGCAAGCAAGGCCTTTATTTGCCCAACTAAAATGTCACAAAATTGTAAGCAAGCTTTTGAATTCTTTACCTTTTATAAGATAAAGCCCTGGTTGTTTCCATAAGAAATGCAGCTTGTTACGGTAAAATCTGGGTGTGAGGCTGCTCTGCCACCCAGCTCATCGGACTAAGTCCGCGGGTCCCTGCGGAGGAAAAATGAGCTCAGCCAGAGACAGGAGCAAGCTGCAGAAGATCCAAGTTTATTGCGCAACAGGTTCAAGGCAAGATTGAACAGCGAGAAAGGGGTGACATGAACTTTTAAAACTTCCCTCCATGTCCCAGAATACAGTGCAAGATACATCACAGTTACATCATGAATACATTAAGGAGAGGTTGGGTTACACAGATTACATCATGAATACATTAGGAAGAGGTTGGGTTACACCGGATTAACATATGGAGGAGGGAGGGGGGAATATGCAGAGCTGGAGATATGCGCAGATAAGCACATCCTGAGTACCGGTGATGAGAAGACAATGGTCCATGTATGCATAGTCTGCCACCTGGCATTGCCCGGAGGAAAGGCTTGGCAGAGTGATTTGACAGGATTAGGGTCTTCCTGAGTACGTGACAGCTCGCTTGAGGGATTATGGAAGGCAGGGGAGGTGTCATGGAGTCCTAGAGAAACTGAGCCGATTGGCACCAGGAGCAAGAAAATCGGAGTTGTGGTTGATTTTATACGAATTTCTAAAGATTTTAGTCCATTTTATATTGATAATTGAGATCAGAAACAAAATAGATACATTGTAGCGAGATTTGACACTTTTATGGGTTCACAAGTTTCGATTCCATTGTTCTCCCAGCGGGGAGCCGTCAGCAGCTTGTCAAGAGGTTAAATGAGGCATGCAGGAGTTCGCTGAGCTAGCTCTGCAAGACGAATGCATGGTTCTGATTGGGTAGAACGCACCCATTGAAAGAATAGGGAATATAACTTCATACGGTCCACCCATAGTAAAGATAGAGCGGGAGGGAAGGCATAAGATTTTGGGCTTGTTTCGCCCGTAATAGCGGTGTAGGAAAGGGGAAAGGCACTTTATTTATGGGGTTTGGGGTAGAGTGTGGTGCTTGTGCAATGGTGTGGGGGCTGAGGGGTCCATGTGGGGCTGGGTGCCCTTGAGGTCATCGCCTCGGACCCTCTGGTGACCGGCGGAAGGGTGAAGAAAGACATGCCCGCCCCTTCCGTTTCAAGCTGGAGATGCTTTATCCCAAGCAAGAGGTTTTCTACATATTCCTCTAGTGCAAGCTGAACTGACTGGTCAATTCATCTGGACCTGTTAGGAGCTCCAGGGCCATCCCTCCGGCACCCCCCCTCGTTTCCCAGAGTTGTCAACCTTTTTTTAGGGAGGATGGCGCTGCCGGCAACGGCTCCTCTGGTGGGGAAGAGGTGGAGGCTGGACTTGGTGCCTTCCGGCTCAGCTGGCCACTTCATGCCATGCTGGCCATGGCAGACGGAGGCTCTGGGCGCGACGCTGCTTCAACACGGAATGGCGGAGGCGGGCGAGGGAGGTGAGCTGATGCCGGGAGGTGCCACGTCCAGCCTCCGCCTCTTCCCTGGCTCCCTCCAGAACCTGGTGCCCCGGCACCCCGCGCCACTAGCCTCTATGGGTAAGACGCCCCTAAGGAGCTCCCAGGTAACCTCAGCTTCCTCCATATAACGAAACCTCAACAATGCATAATAACAATCATTGCAGAGTTCTCCTAGTGGTGCAGCAGTAAAACTGCGACACATTTGCACAGTTTAAGCAGGGTCCAGTATGGTTTCCAGTTGGATGGGGGACTGAGATTCTTGCACTGCAGAGGATGAGAGTAGATGACCCTCATGGTCCATGCCAACTCTACAGTTCTATGATTCTGTTCTTTTACAATAGGCTCCGCAACAAGAGAGGCTGAAACTTTCTCACCATGGGAACTGTTACACCGAAGACAGAATCGGGAGTCAAGATGACCTTAACAGATTGGAGAACTGGGCCCAAACAAAGAAAATGAATTTCAATAGGGACAAATGTCAGGTTCTGCAGTTAGGCAGCAAGAACCAGCTGCACAAATATAAGATGGGGAAAACCTGGCTTGCCAGTAGTACATGCGGAAAGGATCTACAGTGGGATGCAGCAGTAAAAAAAAAGGTCATGTGATTCTAGGTTGCATCAGCAGGTGCCTAGTGTCTAGATCAAGGGAGTATTACCCCACCGGGAGTAATAGTACCTCTGCCTTGGTCAGACCCCACCTGGACTACTGTGTCCGGTTCTGGGAGCTACAATTTGAGAAGGAAGCTGGGACGTGTGCAGAGGAGGATCAGGAAGACCAAGGGTCTGGAAACCAAGCCGTATGATGAACGGCTGAGGAAGTTAGGTATGTTTAGCCTGGATAAGAGGAGACTGAGAGGAGATTTGGTAGCTATCTTCTAATATCTTCCAGCCTCTGGTCAGCTGTCCACAGGTCTAGGCTGTGCGGAGCAGTTGTAGCAACAGAGAGACCCTGATGGGTTGCGCACCCATAACCTGAGACCTCCTGCACGGAAGGCACCACTGCTCTTCCCGCTTCAAGCCCCTTCTGGTTCTCGTAGACAAGTGGGGCAAGGAAAGGCGAGGAGTCTACTGAGCCATCTGTCAGCTGAACCGTCTCTTCTTCTTCTGCCGGCTCTGGTGCACCTTCCTCTGTCTCAGACTCTGCCTCTTACCCTGGTTCCTGCCTTGTGGGCGGCATCAACCCCCCCCCAATCACTGGCCCCTTCTCCTGGGTCACTCTCCAAGCCCCATGCCTCTGCCCCACACTCTTCGGAGTGCTGTCATCTTGTCCCGCTGCTTCCCTGCCCCCTGGAAAGCCGCTCTTTAGTGCTCAGTCGGAGCTAACAGCAATCCGGTTTCCCATTTAAAATGAAAGAGCATGTTTTCCTTGGCAAAGAAGCAAGGCAAAGGGGAAACTGCTCGGATCCATGCCTAGAGAGTGCGAGTCGAGTAGAAAACCACTTGGACTTGTGCTTCCTCTAGGCACAGGAGAAGCAGAAGTGTGGATGAGCTCTGAATCAAGATTGAAAGCAGGTTGCTGAGGACACACAGGAAGGATTCCAGATTGAGAAAAACTGCATGTTTGTGTTACAAACGGGTTAGTGTGTGCATAGCCTTACAATATGTACAGGCAGCTTCACCAGCAGCCATCTTCCCCTTTTGCTGGTTGTTGTTGTTAAACCATCCAGTCTGATGAAGAGTTCAGGAGAATCTGAAAGCTTGCACACAGCACCCTGAATATTTTTTTAAAGGCTTAATTGCTTTGATTTCCCCCTGAC